CGATGCAAGCACAGTCCTTGTGAGGTGAGCTCCCTCTTCCAGGACCTCCCCCTGTCCCCAAATCCCTTACCTTACAGAGAGACAAAGTTAGCACAAGCTTTGCAACTTTATCAGATTTTGACAATGAATCACTCACATGACTGGAAGATTGGCAGTTTAGTTTTGGGAGGTGGGGGTGAGGGGCTGTCACTGGATTGTCACCCCATTGAATCAGAAGTTTGAAATCTAATATCATTGGGCGATCTATGTGGCAACTTTTACGCCAAACTCAAACCGCCAATTGGCACCCTTACCCTGAGCTGAGAGAGACTCCAAGGCCACAGCAACATGGCTGACTCTCAGCTGCACTCTGAAAAGGCCCTAGCATCCACTTAACCTCAACCAGTCTGCACTGTTCAAGGAGGCGACTCATCACACCAGCTTCTTGAGGGCAACGAGACGTGGGCAATAAACGTGGGCCCAGAATGAAGAGAGTGTCCACAACCTCCCCCCGCCAACCTTCAACATACCCTTTCCTTCAGCATGCCAGGTTTATAGGGGATATATGACAAATGGAGCCCACTGGATAAACTAGTCTTACCAGCAACGCAACAGAAAATACAGTAATCTTCTCTAAACAGACAGAATCACATTTCGTCAAGTGCTGCCTTGGATTACAGTGTCTGTTCAATACCTGACACTTTCCCTAGAAACACATCCTTTCATTTCTTATAGCTTTCATTTTTCTCCGAAAGGTGTTGATTCCTGCTGGGCAGGAGACTATTTCCTTCGCCTAACGCTCAGATATTCATTTTCCACAAGCAGCAGGTATCCAGTTTAGACAAATTACTAATCCACAATGCCCATCATTGTTGACCCTAATAAAAACCGAAAGAACTGTGGATGCTGTAAATCAGAAACAAAAACAAAGTTGCTGGAAAAACTCAGCAGGTCTGGCAGCATCTGTGAAGGAGAAAATAGAGTTAACATTTCGGGTCCGGTGACCCTTCCTCAGAACTAAGGGGTTCTGACAGAGCATTCTGAGGAAGGGTCACCAGACCCGAAACGTTAACTCTATTTTCTCCTTCACAGATGCTGCCAGACCTGCTGAGCTTTTCCAGCCACTTTGTTTTTGTATTGTTGACCCTAATCCTGTTCTCTCCCACTCAGAGGCACTTTCCAGGAGGACTCACTGCGCAAAACTAAATAACACTAGGAACTCAGGCTGATTCCCTCAGTGACATTAAGAGCATTGCAATCCCTCAGCCTTCCTCAAACTCAATACAGCCCAGGAATCAGGTTGGGGGGTAAAAATAAGGTATCGAAAATCCAGCCGAAGAGACTAATTTTTATTTTTGTGGAACATGGAAGAAAATCTAGAGAACTCCTTCCTGACTTTCTATTCCACAGACCGTAGCACTTTAAAATCAAACTCATCAGGCTAGATGCTGTTCAAGAGCTGCTTAGGGTAACACTGTGATAAATCGATAATATCATGCATAAATTACAAATGTCAGAGTCGAATGCTGCAAAATGAGGATTAAGCAGGGAAATTCAGACCAAATTCATTCTGATTTCCCATCCAGGCTCGCATTGGAAAACTCTTTGGTTATATCATGTGGCCAAGCTTTTGGGACCCATGTTGGATTAGGGACAGGACTGAGGCCAGCAATAACTGAGTCACTCATGAGGATCATCAGGAATTGCTCGATCAAACCACAGGTGATTAAAACTAAAGGTCAGAAAATCACAAAGCAAATTTGTGTTATGTGTATGAATCGAACCCCTGAGCAGCATTTAAAGGCATAATGCTGTTCCAAAAGAGGGAGCAAAAAAAAAGTACAAATAGCTATGGACTATTACCAGCACATAATGATTTTCACGCTTTCATCTGCCCTAGTATAGCTCGGGTGCATTTCAATCCACCGTGAGCAAATTAAATGGTGCAATCAGTTTGAGGGGTTCGAGTAGCCTGTTCCTAAGTTAATTCTTCGCGGCTGTCCCTGGACATTTGGTGGGATATTTAGATCGGGTAATGTTCTCATGTTCACCCCCCTGGGCCCTGTGCTGTTCATGTCGAGCATGAGGAGATTCAGTGGCCTGATTCAATGACCTACACTATTTCCTTCTCAGCACCCCAGCCTCTTCCCAGTTAGGATCGGGTGTAGGAACCACTCATATCACAAAGTGTGGCACACCGCATAACTAAGGCCTTATCAGTATCAGTGTTTGCCTGCGCTTGGCATTAAACACAGTTCTACTATTGCTCAACATTGTTCTCTTGGCTGGAAGAAGGGTGCAAAGAGCAGGATACGAAATCATTCATGAAGTTGGTCACGCTTTTTAAAAATAAAATGAAAGGCTGAAAATAAGGAAGCATTTCACAGCCCACAATGCTGCACTGCAGCTCAGTGTGACGAGCTGACTCAAGTCAAACACAATGAAGGGTGCAACAATTACAGGAAGCACTAAGCACTCACGGGTTTTTTGTCACTCTGATATCTAGAAAACCAACACCCCATCCAAACACAAATGTACAATCTATTTCCTTTCCTCCTGTCTCTGATGCCAAAGCTTAGAGCTGCATTAGTCATGCCATGTCTTTGGTACCTTCTTGCCCTCCTGTGATATGCCATGATCTTGGGCCAACTAACTGTCAGCAGGCTTTGTCTAATTCGGTCTCTGCTGCTTTAAAAAAAGGTTCAAATTTCACCAAAAAGGAACTGGACAGAGACTGGGAGCAAGACTTCATATTGCATTCTTCCCCACAACCATTACAGCCCATTTAGCTCAAGGGTACCACAGCTAATTTCAACATTGAGGGTTACGGGAGTTCATCATCAGGGTATTTTGGAAAAGACAGGTCTGTTCTACAGGAACAGAGAGGATTAAGAGGTGGCCGAAGAGAGAAGAAAGCTGATGAGCCGTTTTGCCAGTATCTAGAGGATGTAGTTCCAAAACGATTGGCAAAAAGTCTGAAGGCAGGATGTGGAGAAGTTGAGGAGCATCAGGGGAGCTGTCAGGATCTGGTTGGTTTAACTGAAATGGTGGTGGATTTGGTAAACAATTTTGTAAGGGAGTTGGACAGATTTTTGAAGATGTGGTGTTTCACGGGGTTCAAGGATAAAAAGGAGGGGACTAAGTGCAACTACTCTTTTGAAGAGCCAGTATTGGCACGATGGGCTGAATGTTGTTCGTTTGTGTTGTAAACTTCCATGACCCGAACTGTTGTCGAGATTCAGCATGATGGATTGGGCCCAGCACATTTGCAACTCCATGGTGTATTTACCATCGAAACAATTGCAGAGTGTTCAGGTGTAGCTGCTTAACCTGTTTGAGTTGTTTGCCTGACAGGGGACGGATATTAATCGGTTCCTGGAAATTACTCAGCAGTGTAGCTCGATTCATGACAGAAGGCCTTAGTCCAAGCTAGGCAGCAGAGGACGGGACCCAGCAAATGAAGTGAAAAGCAAACGGTTGGGCACAAGTGGCAAGCCAGGCTGTGAAACTCAATCACCTGTCACATTCAGAAACCTTGTGAGGATTAACCGTGCAGGTTTTGAGGAGTCTGCGGGTGGGTAGAAAGGATGCAGATGGAAGAGAGAGGGTATTCGAAATTGCCAAACTGCACCTGGCCCCACTAACTCACCCACACTCCCATTTGTCGATCTAAATGTTGGGAAGCCATAAAAGCTGGGAGCAAGAGAGAGAAACCTTATAAAACACACATTGAAAAAAAATCTGTGAAGTGTAAACTGAAGGGTGCAAAGCAATGGGTTGGTGCTAAAGTTTGGGATTGTTTGCATTGCTCATGGCCACCAAGAACACAGCGAATTAATTCATTCTGGGCCTGAGAGTTTATCTGGGATGTTCTGGATCCCTCCGCTCACTGTTCTGTGCTTGCTTTCCATGAGTACAGTAGACAACGTAACTGGAGGTAACTCATGTCCCGTGCACTAAATCCATGCCAAGAGAAAGAAACTTTGCAAAGTCACTACTGGAGCATCCATCTTGAGAAAGTAAATATTCTTGTCAAATCCCAGTTTGAGAACAATGCCAGTTTTGCTACTGAAGGAAGCATGAGTATTTTCTTAGTTATTTCTTCTCATTTACTCCTTCCTCTACTGAAGGTATAAATTCTAAGATGCCACTCCTATAGCATCTTGCTCAAGAGTCAACCTTTCCTGGTGAGAGTCTGGACAGTGACTATTTACAGGCCATTGAGCTCTAGAGGCCAAAGGATCGGGAGCTGGTGGATAAAACCTAATTCTTACTTTGGTCAGAGGGAATAAGAAGACCAACAGGGAACTGAGGTCAACTGACTGAGCTTGGATTAAACCAGAGATCTCTCTCATTTTCACAAAACAACAGTGCAGCGACTTTTGTCCTTCGACTCATTCTGCACCTGGTTTCTGATGGCTGTCAGAGCAACATAAAACTTCATTCCACCGGGGGCCAGACTGCATCACCTTCCGAGGTTAACAGGGTAGGCCGTTACAAAACTACCCTAAACTCTTCCCAGTGGACTTGAGAATGCTGCTAATCGTTGCACCCTTCTTTCTCAGCGTTCAAAGAGACATTCCAAGCTCTCCTACGTGGTTAGACTTGCATGCATGCCAAGTGCCCAATGCCTAAGTAACAGCCTTACAGCTACTTCACAAGGCTTTTGTATTGTTTGGTTGATGAGGGATTGGGTTGGGGAGAGTGGTTGCACAAAAGAGAAGGTTAAAAGATTATTTGGCATCGAGGTCCAGAACCCGCTGCAAGAAAAAAAATGAACAGTTAATTGCAGGAACAAGGTCACATCAGTCAAATATAGAAAGGAAACTGAATGGAGTTTTAACCAGGAAGAATAAGCCAGGATACAGAGAGAAGGAAGATTTGCATTTCTATCCAAATGAGGGCAACGTCAGGACTTGACAAAGTGCTTGACAGGTCAGGTCAGTGATGAGGGTGCAGGGACTGCTGATATCTCTGGGTTAAGGAAGCAGGGGTGAGTGGTGACAGAAAAAACAAAACAGCATTTTCACTCCTCAGCAGGTAGACGTATGGTTAGGACAGCGTCCAGCAATGTCACTTTTCTGGATACTTGATTGCAAGTCTCTCCAATGGGAAGTGGTCACCTGGAGAAGGGGCAGATGGTCTCTGGACTGTTTCACAAGGACTGGAGGAAGGACACAGTATGAGGCTAACCATCCCTCAGCAACTCTGACGGCCAATTAGAAAGCTGCGTTGGACTGGCAGCAGGACACCAACCTGCCCTTTCGATGAAACACAATCATGTGGAGTAACAGCTTTCAACTGCCTGCTTCGACTTGTTCCTTTGTAGCTACTTTGGATTTAAAGGAAAGGAAAGGACTTGTTTTTATGTAGGCCCCTTCATGACCACGAGACATCCCAAAGCACTCCACAGACAGTGAAGTACTTTTGATCATGGAACGTGGCAACAGCTTAACACACAACAGGCTCCAACACATGACGTTGAAACAATAGGCAGATGATCTGTCTCAGTGATGTTATTCGAGTGATAGATAACTGTTCCAAGATCAGTGGTGGTGGTGGTGGTTGGCGGGGTTGGGGTGGGGAGGGGGGGGGGGGGTGGTGGGGAGGGTGGGGGTGGTGGGGCGAGGGCGGAAGGGGGTGTGGGGGGGGGGCAAGTGGTGGTTTTTCCATCCAT